CCTTCAAAAAAAAAAAACTACAGCAATCACCCAAAAAGCTCATCAATAGCATGATTTAAACCCTAGACAACTCCCTCTTAAGTAGCCCTAGCCACCATAAGACAAATAGTACCTTCCTAAACAATTAACCATGATTTCGAAAACCTTCCTAAACAATTTAGGAAACCTCGCTTTAATGTCGGTTCATGAGGGTTTTGGCCACTCCCTAGTGTCGAGTTGAATCCTGCAAAGATATCCTCACTCAATAGTATAATCATAATTTGGTTAAGTCCAATATCAAGACCTTTCCCAACTTGAATATACTCATGGTGGGTGATATTTCCTTGCCTTAATGTCGAGTTGAATCCTGTAAAGATATCCTCACTTAGGTTGATTCCACGAGAAGCTTTGCTTATGTCATCTCTAATGATGTGAAAAATCCTATCAAATATATTTGCATGCCTGTATTGGAAGCAGACCTTCAGTGGAGTAGCCAGAACCTGCTGTCCAATTATCACAAAATCTGTTTCTTGGTTTGACATGAACCATCCCAAAGATGAAATACTTCTAGTAAAAATGTACCCACGTACACCAAGAATGGTTGGTTGGCGCAATCCATGGTCTTCATTGAATTCCTTCAAAAGATTCCTCATTTTCAAAGCCTCTTCCAAATAGTTACCCTAGTTCATATCATTTGCCTAAAGAGCCTCCCCTCTGGTAAAGACAACAGCATGGTTTTGATTTTCTGGCTCACCTTCACCAATTTTTGCTACTCCACGTAATTTGATGCAATAGATTTCTTGATCAGTACCATCAGTTTGGCTTTGCAAATTTATTTTTTTGCCCTCTTCATTCACATCTTTCCCTTTGTCGATCTGTTTATCATCAGAAGAAGTATGTGTATCACTTATTAAATTCACTTTTCTTTTCCCCAATTATTTGCATCTTAAACATTTTCACCCTACTATAACCACCGCCCCTACAGCTTTTCCTCCAATATAGCGTTTATCGTGATCCCTCCATGTTTCTCCCGTGTATCGAGGGCGGGACTCCCACCTTTCTTCCATCCGCTTCACATGACCCGATCCCCTTGGCTCAGCCCGTTTTCCTCCTCTGATCATCCACTCTCCTTTTCAAAAGCCTCCCATTGTGGTCGACCACTCCACTACCTCCATAATAAAACCCCCTTTCTGCTGTCCCCCCATCCGAAAACCTTATTTTCCCCTTCTCGGAGCCCTAGGAGGTGGCTCTTGATGAAAGGAGCTATTTTTGCTGAACTGTTCCCATCTGATCTCTTTCCCTTTAAATTCGACCAATGGTACCCCAATCAAATCTTGATTAAAGTTAGCAATTGGAACCATCGGTGGGGTGTTGGATCGCATCTCCATGAGCTTTCTCATCATCTCCTCTAGTTTCCTTTCCCTTTGGTTCAGCCCTAGGAATCGTTGGTGAAGCTTTCGACTGCATCTCGATCATCTTCTTCATCATATCTTCAAAATTTTCAAACCTTCCTTCTATCGTTGAAATACATTCATTCATCGATCCCACATCTGCTCGTAGTTGCCCAACTTCCTCTTCCAACTTTTCTTCCAACGCCTCAACTATTTTTCCATCCATCGATACTCGGATCAAGGCTTTAACCACCAAAATTGGCAACTTCAACGCAAATCTAGCCAACAAACAATGAAATTCAGCAAACGAAGAAGAAAAACGTAGCAGAAATCAGCAAGGAAAGCTTGATATTTCGGTCCAGGGCATCGCTCTGATACTAAATTGATACGCCTTAGAAGAAAAAATAGCAAACAACAATATAAAAACTACAGTAAAATCAAAATAGTAGCTGATTTTTAGTAAAACTTTAATTAGAGAAAACAAGATACAGGTGATCTAAAATTCGAGAGATAGATCAGCTCTCCCAATCAACCTAGACGCCACTAGGGAGCCCACAAAGAAAAGAACTACATCAAGCCCCATTTTTTCTTATCCAGATGTATGGGGGAGCTGCAGACAGTGGCACTATCTGTTCCTCTGGTGCTTGAGTGGGAGGCCATCAGAGAAGAAAGTGCTAGAGATGAAGGTTTGGGAAGGATCAGTTCAGATTTATTGAAAGAAGAGGGTAGCCACCAAGGTACTCGTTGGAGGGAGACAAACTGCTATATCAGGGGAGATTTGTGATGCCCCGGACCTCGATCCACATCCCAAACTTCAGGAGTTTCATGGAGCGCTGTGGGGGGTCATTCAGGAATACAGAAGACATACAGGAGGCTATCCTCGTAGCTGTATTGGAAGAGGATGCATAAAGATGTAGAGGAGATGGTAGCCATGTGTGAGATCTGTCAAAGGAACAAATACCTGGCTATGTCATTGCTACAGCCGTTGGCTCTTCCGGCACGAGTATGGAAGGAAATATCCATGGACTTCATTGATGGGTTACCCTGTTCGGAAGGTTTCACAGTGATTTTAGTGGTGGTGGACAGGTTGAGTAAATATGCATATCTCATTCCCCTCCGACACCCCTACACAACTATGACAGTGGCTTTAGCCTTCATCAGAGAGGTGGTCAGATTGCATGGGTTACCAGAGGCAATCGTGTCATACAGAGATAAGGTGTTCCTTAGTCATTTTTGGAGGGAGTTATTCAGGTTACAGGGGACAGTTCTGAAGAGGATCACCACTTACCACTCATATACAGATGGCCAAACGGAGGTGGTCAATAGGAGCTTGGAGATCTACTTGAGATGCTTTGTGTCAGAAACACCCAAGCTATGGGCCAAGTGGCTATCATGGGTTGAGTACTGGTATAACACCTCTTTTCACTCTGCTTCTCAGATGATGTCATTCAAGGTGTTGTACGGAAAGGGATCCCCCCCACTTGGTACACTTTGGGAGTAGCAGTACTCCCGTTTCTTTAGTAGAAAAATACTTGGAGGAGAGAGTAGAACTGAAGAAACATCTGCTGAGGGCTCAACAGATTATGAAGAGACAAGCGAACGGGCATAGGAAGGACCTCCAGCTTGAAGTGGGGGAGAAAGTGTTCTTGAAGTTCCGACCATACAAACAGAAGACAGTCGCCAATAGGAGAAATGAGAAGCTGGCTCCAAGGTACTATGGGCCTTACGAAGTGCTGGAGAAGATTGGGGTAGTAGCATACCGACTGAAATTACCACACTCAGCTATGATACATCCGGTTTTTCATGTCTCGCAGTTAAGAAAGGCCATTGGTGACTACACAGCCAACCCCGAACTACCTGTGACACTTACAGAGGATTTAGAGGTGGTTCTGGAACCCTTAGAGCTGATGGGGGTTTGCCAGAAAGAAGATGGTATGAAGGAAGTGTTGATCCAGTGGAAGAACTTCCCTAACTACGAGGCCATGTGGGAGCCATATAAGAGGACGAAACAACAGTTTTCGAATTTTCACCTTGAGGACAAGGTGATTCTTTGGGAGGGCGGTATTGTTACGCCAGTTCTCCCCCAGCTGGCCCGTTGGCCGGCTCAATACACATATAGGAGGCGGAACAAGTCCGCCTCCTCCCAGGCAGAACAACAAACAGATGGGGCCCACCCCATCTAATTGAATTTCAAAGGGAATAGAGGGAAACGGCTTGGCTTTTAGGAGGGAAATTGGATTAGGAAAGTTTGGGTATTAAAGTTCATGAGTGAATTAGGGAGTTTTTATCTTTGGATTGATGGAAAGTTAGGGTTTCTTGGCGTTTGGGCTCTAGACTCTCTTGTCTAGAGATTTGGGAGAGACGATCCTCCTCTCGAATTGAGGATGATCACTTGTATCTTGCTTTCGTGTTGATTTTGCTTAGTTTCTCTTATTGCAATCTATCGTTTTGGGGTAGATTTCGCCCATATTTTGCTTAATTCTCGCTGTTTTTTTCCAATTAGTAATAGGTTTGCTTGCGAACTCAAGTATTCCCTTAGGGTTACTTGCGAACTCGAGTATTTCCTATCAATGCTCAACTCTTTTCTTAAATAAGGTATTAGCAATTACAAAATCATAAGATAAAGAAAAATCTAATATGATTTTATCACTTTCATTAGTCACTCCAAACCCATAGCCACTATGAATGTTTTTAAAATCATCTGCCTCTCTACCAACATGTCCATTTAAATCTCCAATAATTTTTTTCTTCAACAGGTATCTTTTGTATTAATTCTACCAAGTCATTTCAAAATTTTAATTTTGAACCTGTATCTAAATCTACTTTAGGAGCATAAGCACTTATAATATTAATAATCTTAGCATCAACAATAATATTTAAAACTATAATTCTATCTCCAATTATATTAATTTTTATAACATTATCTTTTAGACTTTTATTTATAATCACACTTATATCATTTCTAATATGACTCTTACCAAAATAACATAGTTTAAATCCTAAACTATCAATCTCCTTAGTCTTCTCTCCAACCCATTTAGTTTTCTGAATGCATAGCATATTTATCTTTATATGAATCATAATATGTATTAATTCCATTAATTTGCTTGTAAGGGAACCTAAAATCTCCTATAATAACCTTATTGAAATAAATATCAACCGGAGAGGACTTTATCTTCTTAAATACCTTCAAACTATGATAAATTATAAATATATTTAAAAGTGACTTCATTGTCACCTCGATGATGACTGTGTTGAAAGAAGATCTCAACCAGAGGGTTAATTGTGGAATCTTTTATCATAACAGAATTTTGGATTCATTTATACTGAAGTGTCTAATGTGCTTTTTAGTACTGAATGATCACTTGTGACTAACTTTTACATCTGATTATTTACTCTAGTTTTTTATGTTATGCCCTTCTAAGGACATCATTTTGTTAACCGAATATAAGTTGAACAGTCCTGAGATATTTTGAGATAGATCTTAGGTAAAACTGCTCTCGGAGTGATTGGCCTGATCATTTTGCTTTTCATAACAATTTATTTATTGATTTTGAATTATGAGAGCATCTGATTTTTTTTTAATATGCTACAACTTCAATTACATAATACATCTATTAGTATTTGTAGGCATGTGCTCAGAATGGAAACCCAAGATTGGCATTTTCTCTATTTGAAGAAATGAAGAGAGACCAATTGAAGCCCAATTGGGTAAGCTCTTTTGATTCTTTTATACATGCTAGGTTCTTTCTGTTTCCTTAGATAAGTCCTTGGATATATATTGATTATATGCATTTCTTATCATTACAGTTCTATGACTAGTTGGTATTTAAACGGATATGAATTATCATTAATTTTCATGGCTGATTCATTTATTTGCCCCTAGCTTTGCTCCTTTGCATGTGCTCTTGGTGCATTCCGCTTTTTTCTTTAAATCTCATTGGCCTCAAAATAAATGCTTAAATTTTGCAAAGAAAACTGCTTATTTTTTTGTTATACCTTAAAAAAATTGCTTATGAGTTTATATTCAAATTAATATATTGAAAACAGGATTGCATGTTTTTGCTGCTAACTTTTAGTAGCTCTGGTAATTGACAACTCAGGTAACTTACAAAACTCTTTTGAGAGCTCGTAGCCAATATGGCTCCTTGTGTGAAGTTCAACAGTGCCTAGCTGTTTACCAGGATATGCGAAAAGCAGGGTATGTAGCATTCAAACTGCATCTTCTGAGCATTTTATCTGTGTTATTTTTTTTAATTTTGGTGGTGGCATCTGCTATCTAAGTTGTTATGGACTAGAAAGTGCCTAGATGCTAAACTGAATGATGCTATGTACCAAAAATCTATTGAAGTGGTCTTGCTACTTGAAGATTTGAGCATTTTATTGTATTTATATCATTTGAATATTTTATATGCTCTCACTTGATGAGTATGTTCAAATTCAGGTACGGTTCTAATGATTACTATCTCAAGGAGTTGCTTGAGGAGTGGTGTGAAGGAGTAATATGCAGTAACAGTCAAAAGAAAAACATGCTTAGGATTGACAAAAGATTCAACTTAAATAATTCCAAGAAACTAGGCTGTCTACTTCTTGAAAGAGTAGCAACATTTTTGCAGAAGGACACGGCTGACTATCAAGCTATTGACATCAGAGGTCTCACAAAGGTGACTTATGCATGATAAAGGAAACATTATATATTTTGTGACCAATAATTTGGAAATTATTGTTGGAGACAAGTTTTTATAGCTCATTGCCAAACTAGGTTGGTTAATTGCTTGAAATATTTCACCCAAGGCAAAATTTAAAAATTCAAACCAAACGAGTCAATAAGTAAATCATGTGTTGGATTGAATCTGGGAAATCTCCACGTCTAGCTTACGCAAACCTAGAGCTTCGGCTTTCTAAAAGTTTTTGATGTAATTCTACTTGCTGGGCAAAAGGCGTGAAATGAAAGTCTAAAGAAACAACAGAGAACTAGTTAAGCTTTGCTGTAAGGGAATTGCCTTGGATCGTTATAATTTGGTCAGGGCACTGCACATATTTCTTTTGGTCCTTCAAAAGCAAAAAAAAAAAAAAAAAGCCGTTGTAGAGGGAGTGCCACTGTGTGCTTTGTATGCGAGAATACATTTGATTTTTTTTTTTTGGTTCCTCTTTCCATTGTTCTTTGCTTGAAGTCATAATACTACATCTGCTTGCACTGGCTGAACATTTTTTTAGCGAAGTTTTTTACTTCTTTTTTCTTCGTTAGTCTATTAGATAAGTTTATTTTGTCTTCGCAGATTGAAGCTCGGATTGTTATTCTTTCAGTTCTGAGGATGATTAAGGAGAACTACCAGCAAGGTGGGTACTTCTTTTCCCATGTGTATTTTAAGTTAATGAGACAAATTTGCTGAACAATTTAACACCGAAAAAAGTTCGGAAAATTATTTGATAACTGTATGTTTAATGTCAGGTAGCTGTTTTTTATCACAATAAAATTGGGTTTCCACCATGAAATTTTATCAAGGCACAATGTGTTTATCACGGGATATGCTGTCCTTTTAAATATTAAAGTACTAGTTATTTGATGGATGTGGAATTCTTGTCCTTGAGTTGTTATAAGATCTCTGTTACCTTCAACAACGGACTAACTACAACTGCTGCATGCCTTGACTAGTATTTCTGGCGTTATGTCTTGTTGGCCAAGTAATAGTAGAGGTAGGCTGCAGGGTTCTGCATCGGGCTGCGTAATCCCTCTTGCAAAAGTTAGTAGTAATTTGGACGGTTTAGTGTTAAGTTATGGATTCTAATTTTTATCCTATGTAGGAACACGCGCTATCCAAACTTAGTCCTTTATATTGACCTTCATGTTTGTGTTAGGGGAATTTGGTTCATAATTCTTCATAATTAAACTATAGTGAAATCTACAGTGTTGGCAACTGTGTAACAATCAATTATATAAAATTATGTGTTTTTTCTTTTTTCTTTTTTAGTTTTTTTTCTCTCAATATTTTAATTAGGTTTAGTCCAAATTTTACAACAATTGGTGACCTATAGTAGGGCTGGTGTTGGGAGTTGACCTCATCCTCTTAAGATAACTAGCAGGGAGAGGGTTGGGGGAAGCGATGGAGTTATTGTGGGGACACTAGGGATAGGTAGCCGAGAATGGCCACTGCCAATAACAGTTGGAGAATATGATAATTATCAAGGTTTGAAATTACACAATCGGTTATTGAGGCATTTTCTTTTTGTGAAGTGAGGCATAAGCCTCAAGGCTTTTTGAGGTGTAAGCCTCATAATTAAACCATTAAATGAATAAAAATAAACAAATGAACATTAAAGTAAGATGGCAAAGTAAGATCCAAAAAAATCAAAGTTAGTTCATTAAAAGTTATACAAGATTACAAACAATGCTAAATTAATAGTCTCCATCATTCCTAGTTCAACATAAACAAGTAGTTTAATTTCTTGATTTATGAATTCAAAATCATCCTCACTCTTATCACTTAAAAAGATCTCGATTAGAATTAGGGGTGTCAAAATAGGTCGACGAGTCGGGTTCTGGTCCAACCCGAGTTGACCCGGGTCCAAACGGGTTGACCCTAACCCGACCCGGTCTTGAAACCGGGTAAGGATTGTCAACCCAGACCTGACCCATGCGGGTTACCTGGTTGACCCGACCCGACCCGCGCGGGTTAGGGTTCAGGCGCATTCGTGCTTGCTACAGGACCCAAGCGACTGGGCGACGCCAATGATGGGACAACTCGACAGACCAAACACGCATTCGCACTCGTTGCAGGACGGGATGACGTCGAAATGGGTCTGGACTATGGCAGCACACGGACGGGACGACGTCGATGTTGCAATCTAGGATTCCTAGTTTGTGATTTTAATGATGACAAATAATATTAATTGAATTGTTACATTTTCTCTTAAATATTTTAGATGTTTCTCTTGTCTGTGAGCATTAACATTTCAGGTAAGATATACTCCGCTCAAGACTGCTGAAGACTCAAGATTGGGTAGAATAGGATGTGAAAGAGTCTGTAATCTTATTTTCTTTATTTTTACTTCTTGAGTCTGGCCACATAAGAGTATGCAAATTGGGTGACCATGCACACACATATAAGAGTAGTTAAATATTTTTAAAGTATATATATTTTTTAAACTAAATCGTATTGTGTGATTTTCAATCATATTGTACGATTTGTTATCTAAAAATTGGCTTAACGACTAATTGGAAAATTAGTTTCTGTAAACTAATCATACTGTACGATTTGGATCGTACCGTACAATTCGTTTCGATTTGAAAATCCTAGCCGCCAGATTAATTTAAGTAAGATTTCAAATTTTGATTTTTAAACTAATAGTACTGTTCGATGTGAATTGTACTGTACGAATATTTAAAATCTTGCTAAAATTAACCCTCATAATTAGTCAATCAAATCATGGTTTAATTAATGATAGTCGATCGTATTGTACGATGTCAATCGTACCAGACGACTGACAGAGACAAATTTTGGTCGTCCTAGAGATCGTACCAAACGAAACATGATTTTTGAAATAATCGTACTGTACGATGTTGATCGTACCAAACTACTGGTAGAGACGAATTTGGTCGTACCAAAGATCATACCAAATGAAACTACGATTTTTGAACTAATCGTACTGTACGATATTCATATCGTACTAGACGACTTAACCGTATTGTACGATGAGAACAGTACAGGACGAGTGACAGAGACGACTTTCAGTCGTCCCAGGAATCATCCCGTACGAATAGAGAAAATCAAGCATATCGTATTGGATGATCTCTGGATCGTACTATACGATGTGTTCATAAAATTTGAACAGTTAGTTTTAACGCCTGTTTACATCGTATTGGACGGGACTAGTTTTGAACTGATCATATTGTACGAACTTGAATCGTACTATACAAACAGTAATGGCTAACTTGAATTTTTGGGATTTTTTGAAGCCTATTTCAAAAGCTATGTTTTAAGTTTTCTCTTAAGGAATAGAAAGAGGAACATGACTAAAGGACGACTTTGAGAGGGAGCTTTTTGAGAAGAAAATCAGGGTTTGTGAGAGGAAGGAGAAGGCGAGCTTGAGCGTGAAGGAGTAGTGTGAGGGGATCACACGGTTGCCCCGGGCTAGCTACACCCTCTTGTGGCCTTAGTAAGTCTTTTGGAAGCTCTCTAGAGAGAGGCTTCTTAGTCCATTCCTAAAGTTTCTCTGCCTTTTTTAGAAGGAAGAAAAAGAAGCTGAGGTTCTCTGCCTTCTCCAGGAGAGAGAAAAACGAGTTAAGGTCCGCTGCCGTCACCGAAAGGGTGACATAGCGTCCAGCACTCCGCTGCATCAGGTTTGGTGAAAATGAGTTTGTAAAGGCTTCTCCTCCTTGCTGTGAGAACAAAAGGAGAGTCACATTTTGTTAGTGCAAATTCCCGGAGTGGAGGACTCCGGGGAGTAGACGTAGGTCAAGGTTGACCGAACCACTATAAAATTTCTGGTATGCTTTTATATTTTTTGCATTTTACTTTTTACCTTTAATTTTTGTTATAACTGCTTGGTGAATATCTAAGATCAATGCTCTGTTGTGCAATTTTGAATTTCATCATCATTATTGAAATTGTTGTTAATTTGTTAGCTTCCACATCGGGTAATTAAATTACTTATTTCAAAACTTTGAAAAGTCTACAAAAGTAGTATTCCTTCTTAGGATTTCTTTAAAGTACCAATTAACCCCCTCCCCTCTTGGCGCATCCCGAACTCTCAGTCTAGTCATCGACGACTCGACCAGACGCAATGGCGAAGCCAGCTGCAGGCTTGCGGCACAACGACAACCGACAGTGCGGGTCTAGCATCCACGGGACGACTCCATGAGAGGACTCGACCATACGTGGTCACAGGATGACGCTGACGAGCGCGATATTTTCGGGTCAACCTGGGTTGGTTTTGGGTTTCTGGCTTAACCCAAACCCGGCCCAATTTTACAAATGGGTCGGAATCCCGACCTTGACCTGTTTCTAAAATGGGTTGACACTAATCCGGAATTTTCAGGTTGGATTTTCGGCTCGTGTAAAATATTGACACCTCTAATTAGAATCATCATTTTAATTAATTTCTCTCTCCCCCGTCATACTAAAAATAAAAAAAATGGGTTTTCAATAACAAGACGTGTCACGACTCAATCTGGAGGCTTGAATTAATAAGGCAAGAATAGATGGTCGGATGATTAATTAAAATTTTGTTTACTAGCTAATTATTTCTAATATACTAAAAAGAGCCATTAAAATCTCAAATGTATTTTAATGAAGAAGAATATTATAACTAATTTGATAAATATCATTTTTTTAGCATCATGCCTATGATACACGTTCTCTCCTATTTCACTCATTTAAATTCTTTAAAAAATACCTATATATATTTGCAAATATAAGAGTGAGTCATTGCACAGCTCATTGAATATGTCATACTTCTAAACAATAGTAATACATGACATTTTGATGATGCATACTTGTTGTAAAATATAAAGTAACTTTATTTAATAACATTTAATATTTGGAATTGACCATTAATCATATCCATCTTGTCATAATTTTTTTAGAATTAATGCAACTGTCATAGAAAGCATCGTCTTAATTAATACGAATGAAGGTACTTCCATTTTTATTTTATTTTTTGCAATAACCTTTTCCAAAACCTTTTTCATTTCACGCACGTGAGTATCTTGCTTCATCAAACAGTATCATAATTGGATATACTCTATCAATTAACATGCTCATACAAAAGTACCTCTCTAGCCATTTCATTCATATTGCATTCATTAGCTTTATTTGAAAATGTGAAACACAACATGTTAATTATCATATATTTTAAGATGACTAATCATTGAATATGGGAAAAATAAATCATGATTTAACTTATAATTAAATAAATGTGTAACCATCATTCTATGCATTTAGCTTAGAAGAAATAATTTCATATCATTTCATAATAAATAATAGCTAACTTGTGTTAACTTATATAGGTCTATGTCATCAAGTTCAATATGATCAATTGTATTTAAAAGAGATAACATATAAGTAATTTGCAATATTTATAAGCGATTAAATGCAATTTAGAAGAAGCAACACCATTATTATAATTAAGGAACATGCATACTCGCCTTGAAATTGAATGTCTAGACAATTTGCTTTAGTTACTACTTTGTTGTCGTCAGCTTAAGACATATTTAATCACTTTCTCATTATCATACTTATAACTTTTCTCGTACTCAAATATTCTCTACTTCTAGTATATAAATTTTCTCCCATAAATTAAATTTATTATTTAATATATCATAAATCTAATAACTAAAA